TTTTTTTTTTTTTTTTTTTTTTTCCTGGAGGGAGCTGGAAAATGAATCAGACACGCAGTGTATAATATTATCTTGACAATCTATACTCATCAACCGCAAATGCCTGATAAATGAGGCAGGAGGTGGGACAAGAAATGCTGCATGCAAAGCTCCCCGGGAGTAGAATTCTGACTCATTCCTTGTCTGTTACATTGAAAGCTCCTCAGCCCTTCCCTTCCCTGAGTCTCAGAGAGCTACCCCAGGAGCGCATGGAGGCAGAGGTGCTCAGATCCAGATGCACTGCATGCTGGAAAACAGCACATTTCCCGCCGCCCCAGTCCCACCTCCAACACTGGGTGGGACAGACTGTGCTAGACGGTGACCTTGACTTTGAATACTTTTTTTTTATATCTGTGATCCATAATAATTATGGTCATCTTGGGGGATGGATGTGCGCACATATCGTATCGTAACTACTTTTACTTCCCATTTACCTTCTCCCTCCCTTCCCATCCCAAATCTCCTTCCCATTTTCACAAAGTCCACCTCCCTGTCTGCTGTCATCTCTGCTTTACTCTTGCAATTATTTCTGTCTTGGCTTTCCCATGCAAGAGAGACCATGTGATATTTAACCTTCTACGATGTGGTTATTTTACTTAGCATTATGGCCTTAAAATGTATCCATTTTCCTACAAATGACTCAAATTGATTTTTCATTGTGTCTATACAGCACATTTTCTTTATCTACTCATGGTCCTTTGATGGGCATTTAGGCTGCTTCCGAAGTTTAGCTACTATGACTTGTGCTGCTATAATCAGGAGTACGCAGGCATCGCTTGCCAGATGACGTCTTTAACTTTTGGGGGAAGATACCCAGAGACCTTGACTTTTTACTTGTAGAAAGCAGAGCCTACAGACAGAAAGCAAATACAAACTGGAGAAAAAGTAAGCATTTTTGCTGTTGGGTGGATGCTGAGGTCCACTCTGATTGTCCAGTTCCTTTTTACCTCTGGTAATTCAGGGGAAAGCATTCATCTCCCTTTGGTCCGGGTGGCAGGCAGACAGGAGGGAAAGGGCAAGGGTGAAGAGAGTAGGTTCATTGTGACCTTCCTTGGAGACACTGGGCTCCTTGGAGCACAGCTCCGGAGTCCCACTTAAGAGTCCAAGTGACCAGTCACTTGCCTGGTGGCCCTGGATAAGCTGCTTAACCAAGAATGATGTTGATGGTGTGAGCTTGGAAGGGACAGCAGTGACCACAGCCCATTCTGTGCTGTGCGTGCAGTGTGGGACCTCAGTCACCCGATCCCCAACACGGGGAGGAGGATGAGGCAGGTCGAGTCTCCTCCCGCTCGGCGGCGTGGCAACCCTTTGCCATGCTCTGCTCCTACAACCAGTTCACAACAGCGCTGAAGGAGCCGTCAGCCTCGTCATACCAGACCGGGACACTGAAGTGGTGAGACGAGTCACCCGCACAGCCCGGGCAGAGCTGAGCTAACTCTAGCGATTCTGCGAGTCGAGTGCATGTCATCCTCAGCGCTCTACGATGCTCCTGAGATCTCGCCTTGACTTCAAGGTGCTTCCTATGTGCATAGTTCTTTGCAATATTTTTTTTAAGGTGGCAACCTGGAACCGACGGGAACTTCTTTCTCCTCTCCCCTTCCCCTCCTCCTTTTCCCTTTTAGGGGTCAAGTCATCGGGAAATTTAGAGGAATCGTAGGTTCCAAAAGAGGTTTGGGACTTAGCCGTGATTGTATAGAAATGGAGCCAGAGCTGAGAGCCCGCATCTGCATGTAGCTAAGACACAGCCAAGGATGGGCCACACACCACTGTCCCAGCCCCAGCACTCTGCCAGGTGGTGACAGAGATATGCGTGGCTGAGGACCCCAGAAAGGGTCCTCTGGTGTTTGTGCTGCAGGTGTCCCCATAGGGGCCTCACTGGGACCAGGCAAGGCTCTTTCCATGATGTCATATAAGCAAGAGACAGGGTGGTGACAGAAGCCCAGTGATGCCTCTGAAAACTCGTGCTGGCCTTGAGAGCTGGCAACCTCCACCGATGCGTCCCCTCGGTCAGAACAGGCCCCAAGGAGAAGATCTGAGACACCCAGCTCCACGCCCCCAAATTCAGGGCGCATGTGAGAGAGGAGGTAGGAATCAGAAGGCCGGCACCCTTCTCTCCCTCCTGTGCCAAAGTGAGGAAAGGTGGGTCCACCCTTGCTCTCTCTTTTCCCTGTCACTCTGCATTACCCTCATGCTAATGTCAGTGAGCGAAGCTGGCGAGCTTAGAAAAGCATTGCATGTAAGGGGGAGATACAGTGACTATGCAGCAATTATTTTCATTTCTCCCTGTGGAGCTGCAGCATCAGGGAGTAAGCTCTTGCCCACCCCCTAGCGATGGCCTGGAAACCGCAGATCCCCGGTGAGAGCTGGGCAGGGGGAGACACTTAGCTACAGGCTGCACTCTTTATGGCTTAGACATCTGGATGAAAACCAAAGGCAACAGTCCCATCAAGTATACAGATGTTTCCAACTACCCACGTGTTGGGTGGCATGGTGCTTTGTCTACTTAGAATGGAAAGCACTTTTGATGACTCTCTGGAAGGCTGGGTTTTCACTTGGGGTTTTGACAATTTCTCAGTCAAGTTACTTGACTTTGAGAAGGTGCCATCCTCTCTAGTGGCAGGATGAGACAGGAGCCTAATGTACCTTTCTGGTCCGTTCTCACCCTCAAATGGAGACGGACCACTCACGGGTGCCCCTAAAGGAACCCAGAGGCTGTCACCAACCATCAGGGCAGCACAACCCAACCAGGGCTCGCCCTGCTGACCTCAGAGGCTCCGGCCCACAGGGAGTTAACCACACTTGCGCCTTTTGGTTTTATCCAGCACTGCCTGCCGTGCATGTTCTCACGTCAAGACACGAGGAACAGCGTGCAACAGCATGGGTCGTCCATGAGCCGTCGTGCTCAGCAGGTTCCAATTTGCTCTCTTGCCATCAGCTGCCTCCCATTGACGAGGGGATGATTAGATTCTCATGTTCTCATCACATTTGTGTTACATTACGTCATATCATATTTTAGGATGCTGCTCCAAAGTGGGTTTGACGGGTGATATTAATTTTTGTTCTTAGAAGCAGTGTGTTTCTTCCTCTTCCTTTCCTACGTCACCCCTGATTGGGCACCTGCTACCAATTTGGCCAGCATGTGATAGAATTCTCAGGACTTGCTGGTTGTTCCTGGTGGCTCCTTCCATGTGCACCATGGGGAGCTGTGTGCCCTGCATATAGCAAGGCAGCCAGATACCAGGTAAGAAGTACTCACCACGTGGCATAAGATGGGGTGACCAGGCACATTCCAGGAACAGTGGCACGGAACTGGGGAGACACTGCGGGGTGCATGTATGGCTCTACCACAGCTAATGCTGGGATCTGTGGTCGGCGACATCTTCCTTTTCCCCACCTTGATGTTGGAGCACGAGCCCAGGTGTGCATTCCTTCACGACCCCAGCCAGGGGAGGCGCCAAAGCACCTCTTTGTGGGTGTGTGGCTACATCTACAGTCACGCTCTGCTCCACAGGCCCCAGGGCGCCCGTCCCATGCTACCCCCAAAGCGGTACCTTCACTTACCTCTGAATCCATTTCCATTGCCACTGGAGCAGGCAGGTGAGGGGGAGCCTTGGGGCCTGATGACAGGGGCAAAGGCACTCTTCTGTTTGACAGCAGGGAAAACTGAAGAGGAGAATGGGAGGATGGAGGTCGTGCTGGAAGAGCCGACGGTGGGACTCGACGACATGACTGGAAAGCAAATGCATAGCTCTTTAGAATGAGAACTCATCTGGAAATTCAGATCCTGCTTCGATACACTGCTACTGAGGAATTATTGATTTCAAGGCATGGTTCCAGATTCCAGGGATCTCTTAAAAGCAGAACATGAGAACAGTCTCCTTGGGTAGGTGGGGGGGGAGGAACAGACACAAAGAACAAGGAATGTGGTAGTGACCTTGTCGGAGGGACACAAGCGAAGCCGAGGAGCCGAAGAAGGCAGAGCTCTCTTCTGCCTGGGAGCCCAGAGAAGGCACCAGCAGGAGCGGCTGGGACAGGGCTTCAGGCACGAGCAGAAGAATGCAAGCAAAGACAAAGCCCAGTGTGCCTGAAAAACCATCCCGTCTACATCTACCCAGCCTTGGAAGCCTCTTCTGCAGTGTACCAAGAAGGCCTATCTGGGAGCCCCCGGCAACTCCCAGGCCCCAGGGCTAACATCTCCAGAGCATCTCCATGGACCACTGCCTCGTTAAAAGTAAAAGTTTATTAACAGTTAGCAGATCTTCTCCTCTCCCTGGACTTTCAGGGCCCCTGGGAAATAAAGCTGTAAGGCAGCCTCCCCTGACATAATGTTTGGAAAAAAAACACCAATATTAACAATATTAACATTAAAATGACTTGAGGGAAGCCAAAAGCTAAGGGTTGTAATTTCCAAGAAAAATAAAGGCAATTTACACAAGGAAGTATCTGACCTCTGAACGTCGGATGCCGCACGGTTTCATCATGCAAATGATAATTTTATTTGTTATGCTTCACTTGCTCAGAAAAAGAGTAAATTTCACAAGGGTTTAAGAAAAAAAAAAAAGGAGTCGGGCATAATGGTGCATGCCTGTAATGCTAGCACTCTGGGAGGCTGAGGCAGCAGGATTGCAAATTCAAGCCCAGTGTGGGCAACTTTGTGACTTGGTGAGACCCTGTCTCAAAGTAAAAAGTGAAAAAAGGGATGGAGGGATGACAAGTACAAGGTGAACTTCAGGCTGAATGTCTTGGCATCTTATGGTAACCATATAGAAAATGAGTTCCTTCAATTGAATAGATAAAGCATTCCTAGAGGTCACCTCCAGTACAACGCCTTTTATAGCAGAACTACAAAACAAAGACACAAAAACAAAAACAAAGCTTTCTCTAAAACTACTTATCCTTAGGTAGTCCTGATTTTAAAAACTAAACAAAGAAACAGCTGAGTACATCTTTCTTCAAATACTATTAATAAAAGGAAAAAAGTTAGCAAAGAGTCCAGGAGAAAGTAACTTAATACTTAAAGGTGTGCACACACACAAGAAATTGGGCCAATTCACTCCACCAAGGAAGGACGCAGGGTTGAGGAGTAAGAGTGGGTCTCATAAATAACTCTGAGCAAACTCTCCTCTCCAGCCTTAGTTTCAGCCTCAAGGAAACCAGAAAACAAAAGCCAACTCTCGCCTTTCCAGGAGGCACAGAGCAAGAGGCAGAAGAGAAGCTGAGTTCCGGGAGGCCTGGATCCGACTGCTGACCGGCTGTGCTCCGTTACAGGATTCCGAGGCACCAACGGCAGGTGCTCGCCTCCTCCACTGGGAGGAGACGGGCCTTCCAGCGTGAGCAGGGGTTTGCACACACGCTTCGCCCTGTTTATGTCCCTCACTTTTACAAATACTTTCTTCCCAATAATGGATCCCAATCTACAGTGGGGCCCCGATTCGCTTCTTAGAAGAGGAGCTGCCTGGAGCTTTACTAAGTGGCCTGAGAGAACTGCCGCAGAGGTGAATAAACGCGGGCCCTTTTAGATAGTTAACGAAACCTTTGTACAAATGCCAGATGATATCCCAATTAATTTAAAAACGAACACAGCTATGCCACAAACCCTAAAGGGAGCTTTAATTCGTGTTGTTTAGTGAACACAATTTCTGTGCTGATATATTTCAGTAACAAAATTGTAAGAGCCACAAAGTTTTGGTAAATTTTTCTAAGTGGGAAGGGGGACTTGTCTGAGATATTGAAAGTTACAAAAAGATCAACACCAATATTAGTCATATGCTAACCCAGAAACAGATAAATGAATGCTTGGAGCAAAACAGGGTCCGAAAACAGATCTGGGTATGTATGAGAATTGATACTTAATAACGGTGACATTTCATATTACATTCGTGGAGGGAAATTCACAGAAACAGTACAGTGGGAATTTGGAGGCTAGAGTTTATCATCTATCCTCATTTTCAACACCAAAGTAAATCTAAACAGATTAAGCAGTATCTGTAAAAACAAAATAATGAAAGTGATAGTAGAAAAATTAGGGAGGTTATACAATTTGCAGAATTCTTTCATCCCCAAAGCCCTAACTGAAGTTCACAAGATGGATTTGACACATATTGAGAAACGTCTGCAAGTCACACGCGGGTGCACACACGCACACACGCACGCACATGCAGGCACACGCACATAAATGAGAAGTTTAAAAAATGCAATACTGCCGGGGATTTAGCTCAGCGGTTCCAGTGCCTACCCCACAAGCACAAGGTCCTGAGTTCGATCCCCGGTACCCACCCCCCGCCAAAAAGCAATACTTAGATATGTTCACATCCTCAATAGCTAGTATGATTTTGTAAGTTAATTAGAAAAAGAAAATCACCTCAATAGGAAAATGGGAAAAGGACACAAGAAGGAAATCACAAGAGGAAAAATGGATGACTGAGAGACCCATAGAGAAGCACTCAAACTGATTAGTAATAAAGTGCTAATTAAAGTGGTTACAACATGTTACTTTCCACTTGCTACATTAATAAAGATTAAGAAAAAATTCACAGGGCAGGAAAACATATATTCCCTCTCTTCTGAGGAGAGAATCAACCTTCCTGAAGGAACTTCTGCAATAGATAGTAAAGTATATTCAAATGTGCATACGCTTTCACTCACTAATTCAATCTCTAGAAATTAATCCCAAGGAGACAATCATGAATGTGCCAAAAAGGAAAAAAAATAGACCCAATGGTGTTTTGATAAAAATGAAAAATTGCAAAATAATTTAAGTGACCCTTATGAGGGTAAACTATGTCCACCACAATAGAACATTATGCAAACACTAAAACTAATGTTGCAGGGCTGGGGGCTTAGCTCAGTGGTTCCACTGCCTGCTTCATAAACGAAAGGTCTTGAGTTCAATTCCCAGCACACACATACACACACACACACACACACAAAACTAATGTTGGAAAAAATAATATGGGAATATATTCCTCTTCAGATGGAAAAAGTCAATTACATAATGGCATATATATCAAGCCCATCCACTTTTGTTTAAAGAAATAATACATACAACAAAATCTAGAAGGATGGGATGTATATACAAAGTTTTAGCCATGGTATATCTGAGTGATGAAATTATGAGTTTTTAAAATTTTATCTTTTTTATTTGGCCATATTTTCAAAGTTTCTTTTTTTTACAATGACATCTATTACTTTTGATGTAGAAAAAACAGAAAAATCCATAAAACCTTAAAAAAAGAAAAATCTGTCATTGCTAAGAAACAATGTTAAGTCCTTAAGAGAAAGCATAATGGCTTCCCTGAATGATACTTTTCTTAAATTTAAGGCTTTGCTGTCTGTAAATGAAGTTTGTCTATTAGCCCCCATGACAGAAAAAAGCAGAGCCTAATATTCTCAAATTCCTACAGAAAGTACAAGGTCTGCAATTAATTTCTGGAAGCAGACATCACTTTCAATATCTGTGCTCATTCTCGGGACCCAGGTCTGCACCACTGAAGACTTTGCTGGAACCCGACTTCCTATCTGTGATGCTCACAATTCAGCCACCTTCCATCCTCCCTCTTTTCATCGATTTGATGGCAGAGCCTTATTAGTTATGCATCCAAACGAACCCTGCCACTTTCGAGCCATGTCTATTCATGACTACAGGGGTGTACTTTGAAAGCTGACAATGGTTATCCCTGCATAGAAATAAACAGTGTGTCATTTCCTTTTTTCCTTTCACCTATACATGCTTTTCAAGACGTCCGTAATGAGAATGTTACTGTCATGTAATCATTTTCTACAGAAATGGAAGGGAATGCATCAGAATGTTATAAAAGTTTTTCTTTACTTACAGTGGGAGTATATTTTTAAAATATATATATTTCCATATGTTCTACATTTTCTATAATGATCATTTAATATTTTATAATGGAAAATATTTTAATATTTATTTCTGAAAATATAAATATATTGAAGCCCAGGGCCTGGTTGAAGATTCTGTAAGTAAAGTAGGAATCTCAGAGGACAGGTTGGCTTCCTGCCTGTGGGGCTCCCGCCCCACACTTTGGGTTGGCTTCATGGTTACTCTGCTTTGGAAGAAGTGGTCCCCGTGGGTGTTCAGGCTTGTTGAGTGGACCATCTTTGGGGACAGCAGAACATAGCATTTTAGGAAAGCTGATCACACGTACTTCCAAGTGAGAATTTCTCTGGACATCTATCTCCCTATGGATAAAGGCCAAAGTAAAAGCCAGCACGTCTGGCCCAGAATCTATGTGAACGTGGGGAGTTAAGGAAAAACCACTTTTCTTCTTGTGGGGGTTGATTGGCTTATACAGCCCCAGCTGGAACTGGAACTCACGGGGCACACATCCCCCTTTCCACCGAGCCATCGCATTTGCTGGCACTCAGGGGTCTGTCAGCATTTCATTGTAACCCCTATTGTCAGGGGCTTAGAATCCAGCCATAAAAACTTGCACTGAGCTGGAACTTGGCACACAAAGCTACCGCCAGGAAGTGAAGTTTGTGTGTAAAATTGAAAAAACATCTGTTTGGCCATTTTTTGAAGTAGTGTGAGAGCAAAAGCAGGAAAGATGCAGGTTTTTGATAAACTGCATGGGGCTGTAACGCAAGTCAAACTTGACCAAGAGGTTTGGCCCTTATTTCTTTTTTAATGTGTCAGGCAGTGACTGCTCCATGATATGGTCCAGCCACAGCAGACTTGTTTAAAAAACTCAACACAAAAACATAGGATTGTTTGCAGACACAAGCAACTGAATTGACAAAATGTTTTCCCCTGGGCTGCACATGTGTATGTGTGTGCAAATATTTCCCAAAGAAGCAAAGACTTCATGGGTTAGAAATACAGGGTAGGTACTATTGTAATGAACTCCATTGGGCATTTGGTATTTTTGCAGTAGGGGAATTTGATTGTAATTAATGCAGTTTGGAATCCCAGGCCGAGTCTGCACCTCCTTCAGATCGTTCCTCTGAAGATAAAGGTGCAAATGATCACACCAGCACGACAGGCGTGAGGAGGGTCCTCTCTGCCTCCCCACTCCTGGTTGGGCAGTGTGCCCTCCACGTTTCCTCGTGTGCGTACACTGCCTTGTTTGAGCAGGTAATTTAAAGACTTTTCTCGTGGCAGTGGGTTGAGCGACCAGGAAGTCACCTGCTGCAATGGGAAGAATTCCTTCCTAGCAGATGAATAATCTAGTAAGAAACACCAGGCGACTCTCAAACATACCTCTCTCCCTGTCTCTCTCTCTCCTCTCTCTCTCTCTCTCTCTCTTTCCCTCTCTCTCTCTCTCTCTCTCTCCTTCTCCATCGTACTGCATTATCAGACTGACCAATTTTTAAATCTACAAAAATTATCAAATGGAGGGAATTTTAATTGGTTTAGTCTGAAAATAATACATTATAAACATATTAAGTATTTTTAGATTATTGAATCATTAAAAACATGGACAGGCACTTTAATCCCACCTTTACTACCTGTTGGCTAAGAATCCTGGAGTCTGTCATCTAATAGCTCTTCATCTCTTACTGGGGAAATGCTCGTGATCATAACGATTATGCCCACATCAAGAGGTTATTGTGAGGATCTAAGTGGACTGAAGGTGTGAGCAAGCCCTGTAAGGGAGGACATGGAATGCAATGGTTCATTGCTCCTGCTGCTGTCATCATGATGATGTGATGGCATCGGCACAATGGCTCTCTTGCCAACATACGACTTGTGCAATTGCTAAAGAGGTGGCCCCTTTCCACCCTGGGGGCCTTGTCCACGAGGAAGTGTGGGAAAGGCCTCCCCCGGGTCTCAGCAGCAGCAATGTCCACTTTCCTCCTCAGCTCCTTAGAAGAGTACCAGGTAGACATAAAGTCGAACAACCACATTCCTCTCTTGGCTTTAGCATTCTGTAAACTTACAACCAAATTAACAGCTCCCTGGCTCCCTTGAGCACACTGACTGTTACCTATGCTTGTCCTTGGAGTTCTCATTTTCCTGAACATATTTTCTTCTTTTAACTCAGTTTCCTAATTAGTCTCTATTTTATATGTTCACACTCCCTGCATGACTACCATGATTCCGCAAAATGGTTTTAGAACAACAAAAGGTAAAAACAAGTAAGGAAATCAATCAATTAATAATTCATTTCCTTAGACCACTTTAATGAACCTGGGTCAGATGACAAGATACAAGACAGAACTCATGTCTCTGTCGTAACAGAATTTTAGTTATACCGAGAGAAACGACCTCCACGGCCCTCTGCTGCTCAGTGCTATGTCCGCTCCGCATGGCATAGTGCTGACTGGATGACCTGAACAGATGACCCGGAAGTAATTCATGTGTGTTCCGGGGGAACCAAAGGCTGTGAGATGCAGCCTCCCAGCCTTGTCCTTTCCTGGGCCATGGCAGACATGGCTGCGTGCTGTCCTTAACATGCCCTTGTTCCTGGCACAAGGGACCCACTGTGGGTGAAAAGAGGGCAAGCTGCAGGGCCTTGCGACAGCACCCAGCATTTCGAGAACACTTTTTAATCTCTGGGGCTCTCCACGCCACCGTGTCCCCTGGCCTGAAGTAGTCCCTGAGTAGGTTTGAAAAGCACACATGCTGGGGTTGCTGGGACTGTTGTGTAAGTTCCTGACCTTGCTCCCATAGCTCCCCAAATGGGTTTTCACAACTTGCCAAGGCATTAACTTTGCTGTGAGACCATAGATGAGGAAGTTCTACCTCAATATATTGCAACGTGACATGCAGTCAACTTCCACCTTTCTGGAGGTACTTAAGGGAGAGAAAAGCCATGCCATAAAGAAAAAACAAATGATCATGATGTGGCCAAACAACTTGCAGCCACCAAATCTGTGCTAACATCATCACCTTGCTACATTCGAGCCCAGCAATGGTGGGTAAATGAGCTATCTGCTGTGCACCCAAACTGCCTTGCCCGTATCATGGAAATATTAACCTTAGAAAGTTCTTGTGAAGATTAAATAAAATGATACATCTAAAAGTGCCTAAAGAAAAATGCACATACTCTCTTTCTTTCCTGTAGCATCTTGCATCGCCTGATGAATCAAAGTCCAGCCAAGGGAAAACAATTAAAGGCAGGCAGGACATTTCATCAGGAAGTGGGCTCGTCTCCCATAAGTTTGTAAGATGTAGGAATGTAGCTCCTTCACCTTCCAACCCTCCAAAGGCTAAAGAGCAAAATCCAGAGACAGAGAGGCCCGGAGAGCAGTATGGATGGTGAGAACACCTACTTCCGTATGGGGAGCCGGTGGGCGAGCCGTTGAGAAATCCCGGCGATCCAGGAACGCCCAGGTTGGCCATGGGCACATTGCTGTAGCCGTTCATACTGTTGCTGGAGGTACTGTAATTAGACTGCTGTGGTGTGGAGCTGGAGGAGTATCCCCGAGGGGAGATGCTGCTCGTGTTGCGGATATACCCTGGACACAGAAGGAAAAGCCCAAGTAAATCAAGCAGTACCCACAGGTGGCTGCCACTCTGCCGAGCTGCTCCTGGGCAGCTATGGGAAATGCCGGTTTGTTTTGAGCCTTATTTTTTTTTTAATTGACAAATAACGACTGTAGAAATCCAGACAGTGCATACCGTGTGATATTCTGATACAATGATCAGATCGGGGGAACTGATATACCTGACACTGAAAGCATCTGTCATTTCTTAGTATCAGAAATATTTTAAATTCTCTCTTCGAGCCATTTTGAAATATACAATAAATTGTTAATTGTGGTCACCCAACTATGCTATGCACTAGAACTTATTCCTTATCTCTCACTGTATTTTTGTATTCAGAAAGCGTGTCTTCTGCTCTTACCATCTGCTCTCACCTCCCTGTCCTACACAATGCCCCTCTCTCCTCTCTCACACCTGCCCTCACAACCACGCTCATGTGAAGCTGTGGGAGGGGCCGCCTCTGGCTGTCTCATGTGACACTGGAGTTGTCTGAAGCTTTAATTAGTGTCCCTGAGAAAAGCCTCTGGTGGTCAGGCGAAGCAGGGCGGGCAGATGCTATACACTGTGGCCATTTCTTGAAGATTCGCCTAGGAAAGGCCTGGACAAACCAGTTTAACTTAACTCATCTAATGTTTCCCAAATTCAACACACTGCAGCCACTTTTGGGTGGGGTTGAGGGACTACCCTAATCACACTTCTGGGGCTGTTTGGGTTCTGTAGAGCTGCTCTGGCAACGTTAGTTCAAAGTTGCAGCCATGCCATATGCGGGGCAGGGATCATTTTCATTCAGAAAGTCCTTATTAATGGATTCATGTCAGCGTGCTGTGCTTTGACCAAGGGCTCTGACCCAGAGCTGAGTGCAAGTCATCCCATCTGGGGTGGTGGTGGAAAGGATGGGGAGTCTTCCCCACGGTTCTAAAACCCACACAGAGGAGACTTAGTCTATCTGGAAATGAACCCTTTTGGATAATTGCTTCTAAAACTATTTAAGAAACAATCCAAATTGATCATCAAATGAGAAAAAAATTGACATATGTCCATGGACCCCATGTCTAAATATATATAATAATAATAGGTCCCATCTACTCTTTTGTAGGACAAACTCACAGTAGGCAAAAAGAAGAAGGAATTATCTTCCAATAGATGACTAAAATTAGAGATAAACTATCTCAAGGTGAAAGACAGTTCTGTTAAAACAGTCCCAACTGTGCATTAGGAACAGTTACTCCTTTTAAAAATGATTCATATAAAACAGAAACAAAGCTTTTGTAAATAAGGAGAGGGAGAGGGGTGGAAAAGAGGGGAGGGGAATGGGAGAAAAAGAAGAATAAAGATATATCATGTCAGGGCCAGGGATTTAGTTCAGTGGTTCTGTTGCCTGCCTCACAAGCACAAGGGTGAGAGTTGGGTCCCCAGTACAAAAAAAAAAAAAAAA